GAAAACCGCCGAAAGGTTATTTTGATTTTCAAAATTAAGATTAAGATTTTCTCCACATGCTTAAGATAAATTTTTGCTGCTATTAATATGTTTATTAGAACTTTCTTGCAGTAGCGTCATTTTACATTGTTAGCGGCTGTAAAAAAATAAATGTCGTACTTGAACTTTTACGTTGATAATTGTCCAATGAAACAAATAACAACTAAAAATTAAAACATTGCAACGTGCGCTATTACATTTTTATTCAAGCTACGGAAATCGCCGTTAGAAACAACGGAAGCAGAAAATTAACGAGTATGTTATGAAAAAAGTCTTGTCTGAAGATTAGCAGACTTAGATTAGACTTATACTTATGTTTCTAGAGGGAAACATAACTGTTATGATAGTATTTATGATGCAATATCAAAAAAATGTGTGTGCTTTATTATGCAAAATAACTTAACATGGTCAATGCATACATTGGGAAGCGCCAACCCAGCAAACACAAGACGTCATACTGACGTCAGATTTAAGTCAGGTTCTGACGTCGGATGACGGTCGGAAAAACGGTTGGATTTGAAAGTTTTTTTGACGTAATAATCTGACGTCAGGTAGACGTCAGAATCTAACCATTATTTAACCTTTTTCTGACCAAAATCTGACCATTATCTTACCATTTTCCGACCTCAATCTGACCATTTTCCGACCTCAATCTGACCATTTTCCGACCTAAATCTAACCAGTTTCTAACCATTTTCCGACCTCAATCTGACCATTTTCCGACCTAAATACTAACCCTTTTCTGCCCTAAATCTGATAATTTTCTGACCTTCATCTTATCATTCCCCTAATCTTTTTTGTTTCATCACGTCATAAATATTTTCTGGCTAATCCTGATTTGATCGAATTTAATGTAACTCATTCTATTAAGTAACTTTCCCTCAAATGAAATGTATAACAGAAAACTAAAAGCAAAAATATGTTTCATGCTTTTTTAATTTAAAATAAAAGTTGCAATTTTAAGCTGATACATACAATTTTAGTAAATTCTGCAAGGTTAGTAAATAATTCTCACAAATTAAACAAAATAAAACATAAAATAAGTTAATTACAAAACAAAAAGTATTACAAAAACAATGACATAAATGAAACTAAGAAAACATGAACAAATATTAAAGAACAAAACAATGTATGCACATTTCTATATCAAATAAAATAATGAAAATATTATAATTTTAAGAAAAGTTAAAAAGATTCTGATAATAATGTTTCAAGCAATTTATGACAGATTTTCAGTACTTTAACTATATTTCTACAGCATTTCTAAAACATTTAGTACATTTAGTGCCATTTTGCATATTTTGACCTCCTTTGATAATTGTAAGTAATGTATAAATTGCTGCCTTTTAGTTACTTCACAAAGTTATACTTTTAGATATCCATGAGAATTAGCACGAATTTTTAGGTGTGATGCTTTAAGACATGACCTTCTTTCAGCACCCCTCATCTGTCCGGAGGATATGTAGCGTTTGTAGCGCCCAATAGCGTGTGTGACATCATTTTCACTGAAAAAAAAAGAAATTTATGAAACATGTAAAAGTAACAAGCTAAAATGTTTTCATGGTTATCTTAACTTAATGAACAATTTTGCCAACTTTTTATAAGAGAGCTTTAACAAAAATTAAAAGTAAACATAAATACTGAACATTTAAAAAGCCGCTTTTAAACTCCAGTATAGTATGTAATAGAATTTACAAAAATCTTACTTTCATATGTTTCTTTTTACATATTCACGTGTTTCCGTCCCTCCGACCTTTGAGAGCATGTCCAACACTTTAACTACCTGAAAAGAAAATTATATTCTAACTTATGTATATATTCTACGTTTGAAATAGAACAGTTACGCAAGTCTTAAATATTTCATAGTTTTGAATTAAAGATTTAATGCCGAAATGTCTGGAACCAAAACGTATTGGGTTATTTGGGACCGAAACGTCTTGGTCCGAAATGCTCGAAATCGTACACATTTATTCTCAATTCTCAGATTTTAACTGACAAAAACATCACAGTTTAAGAAAAATATGAAAACTAAGCAGTACTGAAAGGCATATTATAAACTCTTCACAAGCAGAGTTAAAACATGTCAATTTGAAAAAGATTTATTATTAGACATTATCGCGAATTTGTGTGACATTTTACTTCAGCTGTTCAAATAATGATAATGAAATTTAAGAGTGCTTGCAATCATGCAATTATTTATCAAATACAAAGTAGAAATAAATCTAAATAAATTGAACTGACCTTTTTGTTCAAGAAAATCTATAATATTCACTAATCAATGCATCCCGATTCCTGACCGACAGCCAAAACGTAACGCCTACGAATTTGAATTTCCATCCACGTGACTTTAGATTCGAATTATAGGTTAATTATGTTTTCTTTCCCTTTTCTGTCACTATGATTAAATGTTAAAGCACTATTAAAAACTCGTAATTTTGATACATATAATGTACCACAAATGATAATATTACAACGTTAAATGATTGGAACTTGTAAACAGATCTGTGGCTATAAATAGATTCCATAACAATAACACATGTAACTTTCCTATATACAGCGCCACCTTTATGTTTTATTAGGTTGCAGCGCCGCGATCTTGGTCTGTATTTATATAAGAACACTTCATTTGTAATCCAAATAACATTTGAAAAAAAGTTTAAATGATTACAACAGCGAATAAGGATTATTTTTTTTTTTACCTACTGTCAGGACATCGACCAGAACCTGACGTTAGTACGACGTCAAAAAGAAACGTCTATTAGACATCGGTATTTTAACGTCAGATTAACGTCGTTTTTTTGGTCGCCGACGTCGTGACCAAAATCTAACATTAATCCGACGTTATTTTAACGTCATGTGTTTGCTGGGAAATAATATGATACTTTTATGAATGCCTGTTTTATGAATTTGTATTTCTGTTAACGACATTTTAGATAAATTGTGTCATGCCAGAGTAAATCATGCATTTCATTCAAAATAATATTGAACTACGCTGCGAGGAATAAAGAATATATGAAAAAATGGGCATTTTAAACTGAAAAATGAGCCAATATTTCAAAAAACAATTATAGCTAGCTGTAACAGTTTAAAGAACCTTAATAGTGCAATTTACCAGTTCCTGAATGATATCATTATGTACTGATAACATTTCTTATGGTAGAAAACGATGCTCGCTATTTAAAGTTTCAATTTTCATGGCTAAAACTCTTTTCTTTGACAGTTCTCTGTCTAACATATAAATATTCTTTCATATCTCTCTCGTGTTGTCAGTCCGTAGCCATTCTAGGCCGATTTAGATAAAACAATTAAAGCGTTTGAGAGTGCTTGAATCTTTGTGTTGTTCTACCAAAAACCAACATATAACATACATTTAACTGTCTTATAAAATAAACCAATTTTGATCATAATTTAAGTAAGGAATGACAAGTTATAAACGTTTTTTTTAATCCAAAATTTTAAAATGTTGGTAGGATAAAAATTGAGGATTGAAAGATCAAAGAGATGATCAATTGGCAACATGGTCAAATTTAATGACCAACCGGATCACGCTGTTAAAGTTTATTATGCTTGCGATGCATGCGTTGAAAATGTTTACATATTGATAATAAAGACTTATATAAAAGACGTATTATAAATGTCATTTAGGACGCGTTTCACTTTAAAACACCTTGTTAAACTAGATAATGAGTTTTCGTGTTATGTCATTCTTCCTTCTGAAGAGAATGAAGAACTATGTTTGATTTAAAACCTGGAAACGAAGTGATCCCTCGGAAGCATTAATCACAACAAAATTGCAAGAGAGTTGCATACTCGGTTTGATTTAATCTGTACAAGAGGGATTATGAATATGTGCAACATCCCTCACACCCCTAGCACCGGCTTGAGCGGTACTCAATTCTCAACACTCAATAGTGCTGGCATCAATGATCCCGAAGGACCAGAAAAAATATAACAACACTGAAGTGAATTATGGGGCAACGTTTTACAGCTGCCACAGAGCACTTGACACTTGCTGTTGTAAAGTATAAAAATCTGGAAACGAAGTGATCCCTCGTAAGCATTCATCACAACAAAATTGCAAGAGAAAGTCACTGAGACACGACGATATTAAAATTCATCTTAAAAGCCAAAGCATTCAGAATGCATATGGATATAGAGCGCGACATTTTGTTTCATGGACGGGGTTATTTTGATATCAGGAAATTTGACTTTTAGTTTAGATGAAAACACAGTTACTAGTAGTAGACGATATAAAACAGTATAATTATTATCATAGAAGAAAAGAAGCAAAATTGATAAATAAATTGGCAAATATGTTATTACTCATCACACATTGTTTCTAAGCTACAATATAAATGTCATTTTACTTTTTAGCTCACAAAAATCAGTGTGAGCTGTCATGCGTTAACAATCGTCTTCTCCTCTGAAACTACTAAGCAGATTTACTTCAAATTTGGTCGGTAGCATCCTTGTGACAGTCACACTGGAATTTGCCCATGTCATTCTAATGGCCACTTTTAGGGGTCAGCAGAGCTAAAAATAGAAGAACCTTTAAACATCTTCTTCTACAGAACTAATTGATGGATGATCACCAAACTTGTCTGTAGCATTCTTGGGTAGTGTCTTATCAAGTTTGCTCATATTAATTTGATTGGCCCCTTTTAGGGGTCTCTAGGGCTAAAAATAGAAAAACCTTTAAACATCTTCTTCTACAGAACTAATGGATGGATGATCACCAAACTTTGTCTGTAGCATTCTTGGATAGTGATTTATCAATTTTGCTCATATTATTTTGATTGGCCCCTTTTAGGGGCTGCAAACGCTAAAAATAGAAAATACCTTTAAATGTCTATTTCTACACAATTAATTGATGGATGATCACCAAACTTTGTCTGTAGCATTCTTGGGTACCCTTTTATCAAGTTTGCTTATATTAATTTGATTAGACCCCTTTAGGGGCCACTAAAGCTAAAAATAGAAAATACCTTCGGACATCATTTCCTCCAAACTTTGTAGCATTCTTAGGTAGTCTTTCATCAAGTTTGCTCATATCAATTTGATAAGCCCTGTTTAAGCTAAAGCTTAAATGCCCCAGGTCATGGCATTTCTTAAAATTATTGTTTAAGCATATTCTATGCTCAAATTTAATATTACAGTGTATAATATATTGACATTCCAACACTGAAAAGCAGTTGTTTCCAGTTAGCGACTCAGGGCCATCATGGACCTCTTGTTTAAGTAGTTTCTTCGTTTCCTGTAAATACGTAGTGCTCCCCGTTGAAATTGGACGAGTCTATTCGTTGATTGCATCACAAAAGCATCGAGTGGTTCATTGTCCGGTCAGTATCTAGCCCGTTTCAAGTCAAAGGTTACTATGGTGGCTAATTTGTGCGTTTTCGTCCAGCGACCCCGCCAAGCGAAAAATCGAAAATTAACAAGTTTAAATGGCGGGGGTGCTTTGCGAAAACACGCTTATTAGCGAGGGTGCAGGGCGAAATTCAAGAATTAAAACTTCGCCACGCGGGGGCGCGGAGCGAGATTTAAGAAATAAAACGGCAGGGTCGCGGGACGAAAACACGCTTATTAGTGGGGCACAGGGCGAAGTTTAATAAATAAAACTTGGCCGCGCGACACCGCTAATTAGCGTGTTTTCGTCCCGCGACCCCGCAAAGCGAAAAGTCAATAATTAACAAGTTAAATGGCGGGGGCGCGGAGCGAAAACACGCTATTTAGCGGGGGCGCTGATAAATGTGTTTTTGCTCCGCGCCCCTGCAGTTTTATTTCTTAAATCTCGCTCCGCGCCCACGCGGGCAATGTTTTATTTCTATATATAGATGTATTTATTTATGTAAATATTGTAGATATTTGTAAATCTTTTTTTTTTCACAGCTTCTATACCTGGACTCCAGTTTATAACCATATTAATTAGTTTAGTGTTGCGCTAGAAAGAATTTTTATAAACTTATCTTGTAAATATTATTACATTTTCATTGTACCGAAAATGAAAATGTAAGGGGCAATTTCGTAATTTAAAGGAAATTATGTAAACAAATATAAATATTCATACAATTATGAATGGAAAAAAATGGCCACACTATCTCTTTTCATATCTAAAAAGTTCATGTATGTAAACAAAAGCAACTTGATAAAGGTAAACGTCGTTTACATACACGTTTAATCCACAGGCACTAGTAGCGGACCTGGGAAGAAAAAATATGACCAGATTGATAATATAACCTGTGTTCATCTTAAAAGTGTAAAAAACCAAAAAATGTAAATAATGACCTCCTTTATAAATATACTATAAGTTAAGAGCCGGAAACTCCAGATTCGAGCCTACGAGCAAGGGATTCATTTCCCGAGCCGTTGTGAAAACAATTGGCCAGACAATTAAAAAAACTTTTATCACTATTTCACGTTTGTATTAAGCTTCAAAATGAGACCAACCCCAAGTCTCTAGCCCTACTGGTTCATGAAATATCTCTCATGAAACGAGCGAATTCGTGCTAAAAATCCTTGGTAGACAGAATTGCGGCACAACGATTCGGTACGTAAACATAGACTAATACATGTATGCCAGCTGAGTACGGATCAAAATCACTTGAATTTACTAAATAATATTACTAAATACATTAAGTTTGACCACACACAGCCGTCATTAGCATCTGATACTCGCAAAATTCTAATTTCAAACCTTTCCACGGTCTTAAGATTCCTTTCTACGCCATTGTAAATCAGCTGTTCGATATTTTGAAACGAGTCTTCTGATTGGCCAATAGCAACGAAAACCGCAACGTTTCACACAAGGATGCCTAATTGCGAAGAAAGCGATTGAAGGACCGTGAAAATGTTTGAAGCTCGAATCTCGTGTGTATCAGATGCTACTGACAGTTGTGAGTGGTCTCATTTAATGAATTTAGTAATCTTATTTAGTAAATTAAAGTGATTTTGACCCGTACTCAGCTGACAAACATGTATTAGTCTATGTTTACCTGTTTACGTACCGAATTGTTGTGCCGCAATTCTGTCTACCAAGGATTTTTAGCACGAATTCGCTCGTTTCCTGATAGATATTTCATGAACGGGTAGGGCTAGAGACTTGGGGTTGGTCTAATTTTGAAGCTTAATACAAACGTAAAATAGTGATACTAGTTTTTTTAATTTTCTGGCCAATTGTTTTCACAACGGCCCGGGAAATGAATCCCTTGATTTGGAGTTTCCGGCCTTCTCTTAACTTATAGTATATTTTTAAAGGACGTCATTATTTACAATTTTTTTTTGGTCTTTGACACTTTTCTTAATAAAATATCTTGCTAAATATCTTACCTCTAGCCTTTGACAATGCAGAGAAGACATTCTCAATTTAAACCATATGACCTATTACCGCCTTGTTGGGCAAATTTTGTTACTAGAAGCAAAATTTGAACTTCTTTAGCAGATTTATAGATTAAATATCACAGCTCTAAGTTTTGTTCCTTCAGACATGAAAATTTTTTAAGTTTTTAAATTATAAATATAAGGAAAGTTTATTACCCCCCCCCCCCGAGACAGGGCCAATGATGAAAATCAATGATCCCCACCACTTGATCTAAGGGCTTTAATTCAAATAATCTTAGTTGGGGTCCTCAACACAATGTTTCATGCCAAATAATTTAATGTTAACCTTTGTCAATTCAGAGAAGAATA